ACTTTGCCCGACCGCGGAATCGAACCCGAGACTCCCTGCTCGGCAGTGGAACTTGCGACAATTCGGCCAACGAGGCAGTCTAAGCAAATAAAACTAAATCTTAAATTAAGTACGAACTCATTAAATACAAATACGTTTTTCTAAACAAAACCATGACATCATTAAAATACCAAACATAGTAACGCTGGAAGCGGCATGCGTTATGAATCACAAAAAAAGATGAAAGTTTGTAAAAAAAGCAAAAAAAAAAATTTTAATCGCACATATCTACATAATCATGTATCTCATAAAACGTTACCTTTCCGGTGTATGTTATGTAAAAGTGTATTTAAATGAACACTAATGAATATAATATCTACATAATTTTGTTACTGATAACTGTAATTAACGCATAATTCACGGGTTATTATACCACGTGCTGTCTTAGGTAATGCTTATTGAAAACTATATAATAAATGTTAATTGTTTCATATGAGAAGTTAAATGCGTACAATTACACAAATCATAGGTTTTTAAAATTCCCTAGGTATTAATTAACTCGTCGAGTACCGGTTTTGTAGACACAATTATAGAACAATAGGTTGCGGTCACCGGTGACCGCTTGGTATTTGACAGTTTAATAAACAAATATTGTTTCTCGAATTTAACCTAGACTGCCTCGTTGGCCGAGTGGTCGCAAGTACGACTGCCAGGTAAGGGGTCTCAGGTTTGATTCCCGGGTCGGGTAAAATATTGTGCCCGGTATATGACAACAGGCTCACCCCCTATTATATGGGGACTCATAACATAAATAGTGAAAAGTGGTTGTTACGTTGTACAGTGGTATTAAGTGCCGTAATGTGCACCTGTGACTACCCCATTGGGGAAAAAAGGAGTGACGTTATGTTATGTTAAATCTAACCGGGAAACCTTACACTAAAAAGTAATTCAAAAATAAAAATTAATGAGGCTGCAAAAAAAACTATTCCAAGACATAAAAAATTACAAATAGGTACTACTCATCTCCATGACCTCTTAAAACTCAAAATTGACGAATCACCTTTGTTTGAATATAATTAAGTGTTGAACTATAGAAAATCACAGTCATAATACATACGGAACCGTGACATTTCATTTCATAGAAACGAATCTGGCGCAGACTGAACTTGACCGCGATGTGCGCTCGCGCATTTCAGACGTACAAAAAAATCAAGTATTTGATGTTACGTGGATAAAGAAGGTAACTGGAAGTGACAATCGTGAATTAAAGTTGGGTTAAGAGAAATTGTGTAGTAAATTGAACATAAGAATATAATTATATCTATCATTGTACTTAATGACTGATTTTGTTGAAAACTAGCCACTAAAATTCCAGATGCTTTTTGTGCAGATAAGTACTTTTTTAATGTTAACTGAATTCAGAATAATTCCGAATTATTAAATTTACTAAAGGAGACAAAAAACTTTCATACTGTTGTGAAATATAAATATAATAATTCAATATTTTTTATTGTCTGATAAACTATGCACTTTTGTATATCACTTCCATTATTTTTACATCTGTAGCAGAGGACGCACGCGGTAAGATGCGCGTGAGTTGCGTAACTGAGCTCCGTAATCGTTAGTATTAATTTCCGTGAATTTCCTACACCTCGTACGACTGTTTAGTGTGCGTTCTTTTTGTTATGAACTATTTTACTTAAACGGAAAATTAACTATTTATTTTTCGTTTAAATTTTTAAAAGGCAAAAAAATCTATGTAGATTATTTTGTTAAAGTCAAGGTCAATAAAAACAGTACCTAATCCATAAGATTACAGCAGAATTTTTTTTATAAATATCGCCAAATTGTACCACAGTAATCTTCTACATTTAATTGTTACAAACATTCATACATGAGCATTTCTCAAGAACCCATCCTAAACAGTCGCATGCGCAGTAATTTCGCGTCTATTCATATAATTTCCCAACACGCTTCGTGCCACATTTCGTAACATGTAACCACAGTTTAGATTTAATTATTATGTAATATGTAACGCAGGCGTTTCTTATTTAACTATTGTAACTTTTGTGAGATAAACACTGAATCTAAATAACTGTATGAGTTATCTGTTGAATGTTAAATAGTTGAATACTATCATTATATGCGGTGAGTAGTCAGGTAGTGAGTATGAGTTGGTTTTGTGTATTGTTTAAATGAATAAGTTGAGTAGGTAGGTTTTTTATATCTATACTAATATTATAAAGCTGAAGAGTTTGTTTTTTTGTTTGTTTGTTTGAACGCGCTAATCTCCGTAACTACAAATCTGATTTTAATAATTATTTTTGTGTTGGATAGCGCATTTATCGAGGATTTCTACACTTCTACAGGCTATAAAACATCACGCTAAGACCAATAGGAGCTGAGCAGAGCGTGTGAAACCGCGCGGAAGTGGCTAATATGTATATATTTGATGAGCCGACGTTTGACCACTATCTCGCCTGGTGGTAAACAATGATGCGGTCTACGATGGAGTACGTCGTCCCATAAGCAACCTAAAAATCCTGTAAAACCCATCACTTTAGTTGAATCATCGCAAACGTGACTATCAAACAAAGGGTTACAGGTTCTGATTCCTCATGCATTGTTCTTATTAATTTAGGTGGGCTATTTTTTTGCAAGCACGAAATCTGGGATTTTCTGTTTGGAATCTATTAAGCGGGACTATTAGCGTAATCAGTTAAAAGTGGGTCGTTATAATTATTGCTTGTCTACTTCTCTTATATGGTGGTTAGAAGATGTGATACTATGTAGCATTATCCAATACAACAATGCTTTCCGGGTGTTGTTGGGGCTGCCGCGTTTTTGCAGCGCGTCCGGTATGTTTGCCGACGCAAATGTTGACAGCTTCTCAACCGTCATGCGCAAGAGGTGTGCATCATTACTATATCGGTTTCGTGACAGCCCCAACACTATCCTGAGGACGTTGGCTGACCGCTGGGAGTCTCCGATTCTGGGTCGCTGGATACGACTCCATGCAGTAAAATAGACGGGGATGGGAGAATCCCTAGCGGGTATATTTATTTAGTTTTAGTTTTAAATTTATATAATTACCCGATAGTTTAGTTTAGTTTATTTACTAACATTAGATATAAGGCATTAACTAACAAAATATGGAACCAGTTTCTGAAGTAAATGTTTATTATTATTATTATTATAACATCCACACCGTACTTCTTATACTTAGACAGTATTAGAAAACAGGTTAAAACTTATGTTTTAAGAAGAAAAATACAACGGGAAACTTTAAGGAAAGGTAATTGGAACGACTAGATAATTGTGGCAAAGTTATTGAACCTCAAATTCACACATTAATAAAGAAATATTAATAATAATCCATAAAAACACTCGAACTACCTCCATACACATATCGAATCCTCCAAAAAGCTGCCATTTTAAATACCTGCCATATTGTTCGAAAATTTTTGAACGAAACCGACAAAGTTTCGTTCACCCCAACCCAAAATTGAAACGTCCACGTGGGTTAGCACTTGGCTTCGGCCCGTACTAGCCCTCAAATCCGGCGCTGTAGCCGAGCTTAGAAAAAGGAACCGAAAATAATAATAATAATAATAAAAATGTTTATTTCAGAAAGTTTTACAATTTTGTTGTATCCTGGACCTCACACTAGGATTCCCTGTGTCGTGGGGTCCAGGCTCCCTAACAAACAGTACATAAAGAAAAGTTATCATAACGCAGCCAGCCAATTAAGGCAAGCCGGAGAAGAAGGAACGGTGACTTCTCCCTGGAGCACTCGGGATGATGGTAGCCCGCGGGATCGCTAATGCCCGTCACCTCGCCTCAAGGTGCCCTGCGGGCTTATTATTATTATTATTATGTATGTCTTTACCATTCACGGGACCACAGGATCCCGGTCATTTGGGAGGCGTACGAGGGGCCGAAGCCAACTGCGCAGAGGCCCTTTAGACAACTTTAATATAAATGTACTGGATACACAAACCGGCGACTATCCCTGTATGCACTATGGAAATACACCCAAGGACAGTCCCCGGTTAGTGTAGAACTATTGTGGATAATGGAAAAAAAAGGTAGGGCTATGGATGGGGGTTGCTGTGGACTGGAAAATTGGGAACTATGAATGACTATGGCACCTGCCGAAACAATGTAATTATTACACGTAAAAATGGCAGGCGGAGACTCGCCAACTCACCGACCGGGCCCCGGGAATGGTTGCTAGATCTATATCTATTGCTATCAACAGAGGGGCAACGAGAATGTGAGTGGCTGAAGGGTTAAGAAACTACCTTTATTATTATTATTATTATGACTAAAATTAATACACAATTTCCATCAAAGAAACAAATTTTGGAATTAAGATTGGTTTATATTGCACTGCACGGTTGGTGCGGTGGTTGGGCAACCGGCTGTCATGCAACGTGTAGCGGGTTCGATTCCCGCACGGAACAACACTTTGTGTGATCCACAAATTGTTGTTTCGGGTCTGGGTGTCATTGTGTATGTGAACTTGTATGTTTGTAAACGCTCCCACGACACAGGAGAAAATCCTATTGTGGGGCAACGTTTTAAAAAATAATAATAATAATATTAGAACTTTCGTGAGACATTAATTATTAAGTTATCGGCTTATGGCCTCCAGCATGGCTTGAAACTACTCGAGTTCCTCGTCAAACAGTTACGTCAGTAAGCCGATAACATAATAATTAATTAAGATTGGTTATTAATCTCGACCTTTAAACTATGTACTTTAAACCCGTGTTTACTATCCTCCAATCTTGTCGCTGAGAACCTAATGAGTTAACGGGGCTCCGGCTCGATGTGCAGGAGAAGTAACGGGGTGGTTTTTAGTCAGTAAGAGTCTGACACTAAAGGCGGGAGCGACATTCGATGATTTTCCGCCCTTAAAAAAATCCTCCTATCTTTGTCTCTTTTTGTTGTTAGACTACCATAACTTATTATACATCAGTGTCCACTAATCTAATTACCGTGTCGTCATCGATATGTAATTCAGTTCCCCTCTTCCACGCCAAGTGGTCGCCGTCAGTAGGGTGTAGTGATGACGTCTTCTAAAACTGGTGTAGTGTCATTGATTTTTAGTTTATATTGTGTTCGATATGGTAAGTTTTTATAGTATTTTCGTAATTGATGTTTTTTTATTTGCGTGGTGCTTGGTGATTTGGCTTTTCTCAGTGATAGTGTCAGTATGTATCCAAATATGTTTTGAGTTAATCTATTTGCTTGTTTATTTAATTTCTACTTCGCTTTTTACAAAAACATTAAGATATTATTGTGTTAGGACATAAGTTATTGCCTTAAACCAGTTTAGTGAAGAAATTGATCGTTGATTAAACTGGCGAAATTTCTCATTCACCTGGCTGGACAAAGATTTGGTGAATCTGTAAATCTTATACGAATTTTTGTAATGATTTATATAAATCACCAAAACTGGCACTGTTGCTATTTTTGAACAAAAATTAAGTCATCAGTTTCATGTAATTATTCCTGTCTGCCCCAGTACATTAATACATACCTATGCTTCTGTATAAATCTTTTAAACGCATTTTTTAATGGGTACGTTACTTAAAAATTCGGGACCACACTCTAATAATTAACTTCCATTCAAACTCCATTCTATAAAAATATATCCTAGATCCAATGTCCTAAATCCATTGACTTCCATGTAGGTCATAACGGCTACTGAAACCATAGGAAGTCCCTCGAAATTGGATTACTAACCGCTAGTGGTTGAACTTGACTCAAATTCCCTACTGAATGTAATGGAGTGTATATTACATACAAAGCCCTTTTATTTTGTATCATCAGCTGTATTATAATTAACCTTACTTTCTCCTTGAACGTCACGATTAGCGTCCGTTAGAAAATAAACGAGATTTCCTTAATTTTTTTTTTTTTTTTTTTTTAAAAACCGTTGCCCCACACTAGGATTTTCTCCTGTGTCGTGGGTGCGTTTACAAACATACAAGTTCACATACACAATGACACCCAGACCCGAAACAACAATTTGTGGATCACACAAAGTGTTGTCTCGTGCGGGAATCGAACCCGCGACACGTTGCACGGCAGCCAGTTGCCCAGCCACCGCACCAACCGTGCAGTCAAATCAAAGTCAAAAAAGTAATTACCTACAATTTAAAGGTTTATAGATTTAACCTCTTTTTTCTGGGTAATAATTTCTATAGCAGACCTCTGCGTACGAAAATTTGTTATAAATTATGATGCAGGCGGGTTTGGCTCGAAGTGCAGGAGTAGGAACAGGGTGGTTTTTAGTTAGCAGGCGGGTTGAAGTTCGTAGTTTAAAATGTTCAGTTTTGTCAAAAAGCACTGGATGGTCACTATGACGAACGTGTAGTCCCTTGTTCAACTCTTACGACAGCCGTGGGAAGAGTAGGAAGAGTAGAGTACGTCACCACACTATGTGGCATTTAGGGCTCGTACACAAAACTGCGATGCGATGCGATGCGAATTCACAACGTAGAAAATTACGACACGAATTGCTGCGATGCGATTTCGTGCGACAATGCATCTCCTATGGTGACCATGCCTGCGACAACCGTCACCCGTACTAACCGTATTTTAAATTGAAAACTAGGTCGTGACATGGATCGTCAAAAGAAGTGTGCACTTCTGTTATTATCTAGGAGATAAAGGAAAAAGAAACAAAGAAGATTTTGATGCGCGATGGGAATCAATTCGCAAGTTCTTGCGATACGTAGAGGGAGCTCGCACATTTCAATGCGACGTCGCATCGCAGTTCTGTGTACGAGCCCTTACTGGCAAAAAAGTGTCATACTTTTTTGTTTCTTTCTTTGGTTTCAAGTCAATGGCATGGTAATCTTTATTTTTCTGATTCCAGCATCATCAATCCTGTGCTATGACTGCAACAGCGCTTACGATCCTCGGTGTGGGGAAGAGTTCGATTCCTTCAGCCTGGGCATCGTCAACTGTTCCTTGAGGGATCCTCCGGAACATTTAGAACCAATGGAACCTACTTTTTGTAGGTCTATCAAAATGGAGAGTGAGTAGATGTATACACTAGATAAGTAGAAACATACGTTTTAAATTGCATTTAAAAATGTACAACAACATTAAATTGCACTTAGAATGACAAAAAAGAATTAGGTATGCTTTCCTGTTTTTTGGAAAATGTTTTTCAATCTACCATCCCATCCATAAGTTAAGACATTAATCATTATAGGCTTAATGGATGGCAGAACTTTTGTATTCAAAACGTTCATCACAGAATAAGAACACACCTTACTAGTTCAAAATTCTTCTATCCAGAAAAGTACTTCGAAATCTTTATCTGAATCATTTAACATTTTCCACAGTCTACGGAAAAGTACGAGTGGTTCGTCAGTGCGGCTACTTAGCTGATGATGAAGTTAAAGAACAATCATGTCGTCGCGTGGTCGGCAACGGCGACTTATTCGTCACTTATTGCACTTGTAACACTGACCTCTGCAACTCAGGAGTTGCTCAGAACTACCAACAGATGGCGCTCGTTGGTGTAGTGTTGTTATTGTTATTGTGGTAGAATTGTTTCGTTATACATACGTGGCATAAATGGTGTTCATTTGTTTCTGTTGCTCTTGTTTTTAATGTGTTAATTTTATGAATTAAATAGATTAGGTATTGTTTTACTATATGGTATTATTTGTGCACAACCTACATCGCTACTATAGCAGTCTACTAACGGACGAACGGATGACGACTTTACAATAATCTGCTTACCTGGGTTAGCACCATCACGGAACACCTTGGGCAAGTTTCTATATGCCAAGAAGTACTCGATGTGTGCCATCTCATGATGAGCAGTCACCAGGTCCTTCATATCCACGTGGGTGCACATTTTGATCCTGAAATATTTGTGAAACATTATCAGTGTCTGTAGTTCTTTATTTGATCGCTAAATGACCAGCAGAGAGTTTATCTATTTAGTGTTATAATTGTGAAATTGTTTTATTGATAGAAGTGATGAGGACTGATATAATAATTGCTGTGTAATGTAGGTACCTACGTTATAAGAATAGCATCTCTTCCAAGTCATTTCTTTACCAAGTTATAAGTCCCACTAATTAAAGGAGGCAGTCTAATGTGACATTTTTTTTATGGTATAAGCCGGTAAACGATTAGACGGATCACCTGATGGTAAGCAATCGGCGTCGCATATGGACACCTGGAACACCAGAGGCGTTACAAGTGCGTTACTGGCACTGATTAGGATTTTGAGGATTGTTGAAGATTCAGGGATTGGGGTTGGGGGGGG